CTTGGCGAGCAAGACAGTAGTTATACAGTCAAAGCGTTACCATATTGATGTCAAAGAAAACAGAAGGGGGAAGTTTATTAAGATAACAGAGGTACTGTATTGTTAATTTATATGTCAGTGGCTTAGGTAATACTGTAATATTAATTTATTACTTAGATTAATGATGTTGAATAGCAAACATGGTGAAACCAAAATTAAGGTAATTCCAAATGTACACACAAAATATCTTTAATCAGATATCGTATAATTTAAGCATTAATTATGTGATTGAGTCCAAATCCCAGGCTAGTTTGTGGAAAATTGATAAATTGCCTTTATTTTCAGTTCAATCATGTGGAAAGATGAGAACGCAATTTCCACAATTCAGTTTTTGTTCATTTGGTTTTAAAATGTTGGAATGTTATAGAGGGTCACATGATCATGTTGTATATGATCAAGAATGTTAATGTCCTTGAGATCAGTATGTTTTACCTGTACATGAAAGAATGTTCTAATATTGCAACCATTTTATTAATTTTTATTCATATATATCGATTTTGCAACCATCTTATTAATTTTATTCATATCTCTTGGTAAATTTTGTTTAATTTAATACAAAATAATATATTTATTGATATCTATTTTTTATTTCTCTATTATGCTGGAAATCATAAGCATAATATTTGAAGTATTATTTATGGACAAGAAATTTTGAGAAAATAAAATATATCAGTCTGTATATTAATTTTCCATTCTAAGTAATAATTACTATAAATATTTTATATAATTTTATATATTTATTATTGCCTAATTTTATTATTTAAAGACAATTATAACTTATTATTTATTTATTAGTTTGTAGTATTATTGTTGTCATCTTTTTTACTATTTTCACCCACCATCCTCCATTCCCCAAGGTACCTTCTCATTCAAAAATGTATTTCCAGATATAATATTCATTAATAAAAGAACCCTGCATTCACCCCTATTCTTATGTAGTCATAAAGCATAGTTGTCTTCACCATCTAATTAGCCTCTAATTATTTCACCAGGTGAGTCCAATTGGGAAGAACCGACTGAAAATGTCAATGTCTGCTGCCAGTGATTTTAGAAGTCATCTTGAGTCGTTCTGTGAGTACTATGTTAAGTTGCCTCCAAGTGACCCGGATAACTTACCAGAAGACGGGATGCTTAAAAGTGAAATGGTCATGAAGGAGAATAGACGTTACTACCTTGATCTCAAAGAAAATGATAGAGGACGCTTTTTACGAGTAAGTAATCATAACTTAATGAACTGACATTCATGTAGCTACAATACAGAAAACTACTAAACATTCATAAACAAATTTTACTTTGTACAGGTGTCGCAGACAA